TTATTATCATATGATTAAATGAGAAGATTTTGTAAGTTATCTTAATTCGAAACCCAAACAGGGACATATTTGAACTTTTATGTTGTTGACGTTAAAGAGGAAGAATATATTTGTAAAATCTCAGCGAATGAATTTTAAGTAAATCCAACGTTTTGCCTGGCAATCTGGTCCAAGCTTTTTCAAGGAAAATATATTCTTCCTCTTTAATGTCTCAAATGAACTCGGCGCCCAAATATTGTGAAACTATTCGTTTAAATTTAGACGAAAGTTCTTATTTATTTTTTGTTGTTGGTTTATTCATAACAATACTGATTAATTCACTTGATATTGTTTTATTTGAATCTTCCCATTGATGTTTTAGGACTGAAGTTGATCAGTCTCTTATTGGCATATGTGCATACTGGGCGTATGTCTCGATATTGCCTTAATTTACAAGCATTATAAGCAGAGATGGATAGTGGCTAGCAGTGGAATCCAGGACGCGCGTTTCGTCCTGTTTGGGACTCGTCAGCTGGATGTACCTGCATCTCAGAGTTGATGTTCACTCTGGGACTCGAACTCAGTACCGTTCGCTTCAAACGCCATCGCGTTATCCACTTAGCTACTTGATAGCCACTTGCTTGTGCAATGGGGTGAAGTTTTAATTCACTTGATATTGTTTTATTTGAATCTTCCCATTGATGTTTTAGGACTGAGGTTGATCAGTCTCTTATTGGCATATGTGCATACTGTGCGTATGTCTCGATTGATGGTCTAACATCAATCGGTTCATGATCTCAATCAAAAATTGTTAATGTTGATATGACTCATATAGAATATTAACTTGAATCTGCGTATATGTTAAGTGAAATCTTAAGATCCATGATCAGAATAAATATGGGTCAAATAGGATGAGAGAGAAATAATAGCGCAATTACAATTCGATCAAATAAGTATGACGTAATATCCCATTTGACCCATATTTATTCTGACCATGGATCTTAAATTTCACTCAACATATATGCAGATTCAACTTAACATTCTATATGGGTCATATCAAAAACTTAACAATCTCCACAACCCCTAAACTGATAATTAACAATTTTATTGAATTTTGTTTATCACAATCCTAAATTCACATGCTTCAACTTTAAACAATGTACTTTGCCCTTAACCTGGTCATTTTTCGGATTATTAATTTGGATATATGAATTGTAGAACCTGAAGAGAATTTATCAAAAAGAATGTACTTCGTTCAAATACTAAACTTGATATAAGTAGTTTTTCCTGCTTTTGAAACCTTTGAATCAGAGTTCAAATGATATTACACCATTTACAGAATCGGTCTCTTATTTTTATAATTTGTTGTTTTCCGTTATTTAAGAATCAATCTATAATTATCAGTTATTTTACTAGGTGTAACTAACAGTATTTTGATTATATATTACTAATACTTCAATAATCGTCTAAGCAATAATACTAAATGGGAATGAAGTCTCAGAATTTTAACATAAAATCCTCTTGATAAAGTCAAAAAAGATTTGCTTCCGACTCAAAAGCTGCTATTGTATATAGAGTATTTGAGGATTTAACATATTTTAACCTGTAATCATGAGCAGATGTAATTAGGATATTTTAAAGTAGTAGCATTATTGTATGTAATATATAAACTAGTAATTCCTGAGGTTAACTAATACATACTCTTTCAGTTACAATCGTAATAACACAAGTAACAAATAAGATTGTATATACAAATGGTTTCATTGTATTAAAATTATAATTGAACAGTTGGGTATATACAAAACACTTTTTACTTGATAGAAATATTACAGTACTTTGCCTAAGGTTTAGTAGCCAGATGAAATAAAGTTTATTTAGTGCGCTAAAGAGTTCAAGTAAGTGACTCTTAAGTTTATCAAAATGCTCGTTGACATTTGACACTTGTGAGTAGAACTATTTAACATACTACCATTATGTTTCCAGTTTCTAGCATAATATGTATATGTAGAGAGAAATATGCCACACTAAGTGGATATATATATATATATATATATATATATATATATATATATATATATATATATATATATATATACCTGATGTTCATCCTGATTTCTTCGATCATTGGTGGGGGTGACATTTATTGGAAAGTCTGTCAGTGCTGCTTCGATATCTGGTGGATTCAATGGAGCTGATCTATTCAAGAGTTCCTCAAAGTATCCTTTGTTCTTAAATTTCGGCAATTGTCTTGCCTTGTCTTTGACCAGTCTTTGTGGTTTACTATATTTGCTTGCCAGTTTCTTCGTTGTGTCATATACTTGTCCCATATTTCCTCCACTTGCAGCTTTTTTCGCTGGCGTTGCTGGCTCATCCACGTATTTCTGCTTGTCGTTTCTAATGCTCCTCTTGACTTGATTGTTTGACTCGGTGTATTCGGCCTGTGTCTTGATTTTTTGCTCTTGTTCGGCTGTCGTATCTAGCCTTTGTTGTCCAGCTTGGGTCCGATGGGATTCACTGATTTCGAGTACTGCTGAGTTGAATCTCCTCATTTCCGTTGCTATTTGACTGATCTTCCCGTCTCCCACATTGTCCGAACATTCCGTGTACCTATAAAAATTGTTGCTCTGGTTGTCAGAAGGGGCATCGACCTCATGGCTTCCAAAGGAACTCGGCTTTCACCATGAGGCGTCATAATTCTTCCTTGAACTCGGGGGCAGAGTTTAAATGGTGCAACTTGTTCAGTCTGGCTGGCTTATTATAGCAAGAATTTTTTTTCTATCGGACGGGGTTGCCGACTCCGTGCTTAACACTCCTCTTTTAACCGGGGTTGGGATCGTTAGTATTTCTAGAAGAGCAACTGAATATTAGTTTAATGAAACCTAATAAATATTTTCAATGATGAAAAATTTTCCCTTTTTGTTTTTCCTCGCATAAATTAAGTCGTCTCTGCAATTCGACGAAGTTATCTGAGCTCGGTGATTTAATCGTGAATAATTCACTTCAATTTATTTTTTATTAAGTAAGCTGTTAGTCATTCGTGGCGAAATCTTAATAACTCATTTTTATTTACAGACAATCAAAAGTTGATATATTAGATAACTCTCCCGTTGTTACATGTTTTGAAATTCATATAGACTAAATTTCTTAAGGACACTTATAGATGAGAAGTATTATCGACGCAGGCGATTGTTGTAATTAGATTATTCATTTGGCTTAGGTCACTAGTCACTCTTCTTTGGTTGGATCAGTACCAAATATAAACAGACCGACTGAGTATAGATTGCCCAACGTAAGTTGAGCTACATTTCTGCTCTCTTCAGTCCGATCTTCCCAATCTTCTAATACAAAACATTCCACTCCTACTGGTGCTGCGTACTACTAATATTATCGACATAAGTAGCATATGCCACAAACTGAACACATAAGTAGAAATAAGATCTAATAGTAACTTACTAAAAATATTATTTTTTTAGTTTTACGTTAAAACAGCAGCCTAATAGAACTTGTTCTCTTAAAATATCAAATCTAAGATTTGGCTACAATATAAAATAACGAGATTTTTTTTATCAGACCAACATAATGAAGTATCAGCGAAATTTACTAAGGTTAGATAACAAAACTAATCTGTACAGTTCCTTTAAATTCAGCATACATCCGTTAAGGAATTACAGTATGAACTAAGTTAAGCCTAGATATATTGTTTTGAGTGAAATTGGGAGGAATGTTCAGAACAGAAAGTTTCTATTTATGTACAATGAATATATCTACTTACCACCTACGTCGACACACTATCTTGTTTCAAATTAATAATACATGATGAAACTATCCTAAGGCTAATTAGAGAAAAATTTATCATGATTCTAACAAGACTATTTGGATACTTGTGATCTTGTTTGATAGAATGCCAAGAAAGATGAAAATCTTATTAAATTGTTTCTGAAAAAATCTATCCATCATTTTCTTTCATTCTCGTCTCCATTTAACTTAAAATCCATTTTAGTAATTAGCTAATAAAATGCAATAACAATATCATTTGATATATATTACTGTTTTTGACATATAGGAATGAACTGTTTATTTTTAATGTAATATATTCGGTCCGAAAGAAAATAGACTGTGCCTGTTCGTTTAAATAACATTCTATTTGTAACTACAGCATAATTTTGAACCTCAAAACTGTATACAACAGTCATGCACAATGGATTGGACAAATGAAATCTAAATCACTGAACCGCCTCAATGGTCTAGAGGTTAAATGTTCGCGTGCAAAGCCAAAGGTCATAGGTTGGAGTCCCATGTGCGGTATCGTCGATGCCAACTGTCGAGGAATCCCATACTGAGATGAAACGGTCTTCTAGTGCTTCCAGATTTTCTATGATGGTCCAGTATTGATCCAGTGATGGTGTCAACCTAAAATCAACAATATCTATAATCACGTAATGAAAATAAAGAAATCTAACAAAGATAAAAAAACATTCAGACTTTAGTAGCAATTTCCCTAAATGTTGGACAAATTTACCATAAAATTTCTTTATGTAATTCCAATTTTTAATGAAAAAAAAATTCCATAATTTTTATTGATTTAGTTAGACAGACAGATGGGGCACAAATGTTTCCAAATTAAACCTTTATTACACCATAAAATAATCTTTATGGAATCTTTGTTGTATTATTGATTCGTTGTATACCAATCAAAAGCATTTCTTCAAATATCCAAATATTGTGAAAGTATAAAAAAAATAGGAGAATAAAATAGAAAGAAATCTAACTATTCAGTCTCTCCATACACAAACACACACCATACCCCCCTATATAGTCCATATACCTTACCTATGTTCCCTCTTTTCAATATATTGAAATATATATGCACAATTGTTAACAAACATTTTAAAAATCATAATAAGACTTATATAGAATACATAAAGTGTAATCACTATATAATTTTGTTACCATAGAGAAAAATAGATTTACACATTATTATTAATTAACTAACTATATAAACTAAAAGAATATTGTGAATAGTGATTTGAAGTTAATTCATCCATTTCTTTTGTTTTAAATTATTCTAAACTGATTGTTACTATTTTGAATATAACAATTATTCATTAAATCTTACAATTACATATATATATATATTACTCAATATAGATTCTTATTGATACATTATGCCTTCTGAAATTTGTCCAAAATGTCAAAAAGCTGTTTATGCTGCAGAAAGAAAAATAGCCGGTGGTAAAGCATGGCATAGTATGTGTTTAAAATGTGGTAAGTTATTATTTTTTTTCTTTTAATAACATTCAATTAGTTATTGATACTTTATAATTTATATCATTTCATTAAACTACTAACTTATTAAATAGTAGGATAACTAGTGTTTTTAAGTTTTTTTAAATTTATTTAAAGTTTTGAACTATTCTGTAGATTTCAGCAGTTTAAACATCCTCATAGAATATTCAAAAAATGAAGAATATTTAAGCGAATAATTGTTTTCAATAATTTCATCATCAAATTCTACAGTTATAAGTTCATAATGATGATATTTTACAAAGGCCAAAAATAAGGCAAGTATTAATGAATTTGACAGTGTTCTGTGTTGAAAATGGTGAACGTTTGCATCTATTACGATTTATATATATATACTTTCAATGGTTAAGATGATGAGTCATTTGAAGATGGACCACCATGGAAAATATGGAAGCACTGGACGACCGTTTCGTCGTATTGTGGGACTCCTCAGTGGTGCGCATTCACGACTTCGCCTCCTGCGAGATTCGAACCTAGGACCTACTGGTTTCGCGCGCGAGCACTTAAACACTTCAAAATTGTATTATTTGCAAATTAGAAAGGTCATTCAATAGTGGTCAGGATGATTTGGAGTAAAATGTCCAGTCACAATAAGTATAATAGTATTATAGCAAAAATGAAAATGCAAAAAAATATTGTGTGAATAAAATGCATAGTAGGAGAATTTAATCTTGTCAATTGAGATAATAATAATAAGATTGTTGTGTGAATATAATATGTAATAAGGAGGGTATTATCAAGGTAATTATGATAAACGAATTGGGAATGCCTTATTTTTGGCCTTTGTCAAATATTATAATTATGGACTTATAACTGTAGAGCCTGATGATGAACTTATTGACAACAATTGTTCGTTCAAATATACTTCATTTTTGAATATTCTGTAGAGTTGATCATTCTAAACAGTAAATTAATTGATTTAAGAAAGAGTTTAGAATTTCAAATTATGTTGAAAAGAATTAGACACTTTTGATTTAAACTGATTGACTGTTTTAATAACTAAAGTGATGTACTAATTAATACACTTACCTTTTCATGTAAAGATAATTTGGGGTTTTATGAAAAGATACATAATTACAGATAATAACTTTGTTTAAAAAATATATCATAGTAATCTTCAGAGTGGTGTTATTATATTTCGAATGAATCTACTTGAGATATAGCTGAGTATTTAGATGGTGGTTGGAGGTAGTCAACAGGAAACCCTGGACCCGGGTTTCGTGCTATTTGGCACTCGTCTCTGACTGTGAAGCTGGGTGACACGAGATCAAATCCGCCAGGGAGCACCAGTTCCCTCAAGATTACAGGTACACCTTGCTGACGAGTGCCAAATAGCACGAAACCCGGGTCCAGGGTTTCCTGTTGACTACCTCCAACCACCATCTAAATCTCAATACATAGTGCCCGCAGTGTCGAGTCACCTAGACTGGTGGCCACAATGCAACATGATCGATAGCATTCGATCTGCACTAATAAGGACTGGACAAGCATGACATTGATCACCACCCAGTGATCAATCAATTGTGATATAGCTGAGTATCTAATCATCATGAACTTTTCGATAACAAATATGAATCTATGAAGCTAGAATCAATTTTCCGCCCATTGAAATCATCTTTCTGAATTGTTGAATTAATACTATCAGCTAAAAAAGCAGAAACATTTTATATAGATTGTTTAGGACACTACTAACCGATAAAGTTTCATCAATGATGGTGGATACTGAGAGAAGTTACGATCGAACACTCATCCTAATCATGTATACTTGGAAAGACAGCCTGATTAATTAAGGTGTATTGAAATTAAGTGTCAATTTTTCTAATATGTACCAATAGAGACCATTCATATAATATTAACCAAATCTTAATGTATTTTCACAGTTTAATACCGAGTATGTTTGTGAAATATGGAAGAAACAGTGTTCGTTTATTAATTAGAACTATGTGACAGTAAACTTATCAGTCGTTTGTTACTTGAAAACATAAGGACAATTATACCATGCTTTAAGTGTATTAAATAAATAATGATTTTATTTGTATGAATTACGGTCAAGCGATAAACTTCCAGTAAGATTTCAAAAGAATTTAGATAGTCTTCTATCAGCAATTTCTACTCATTTGCGCTAATGACCAAGTACACCTCGTAAGTGAATCTAAAGGTGAAATTGAGAGTTATACTCCACCTTCAATTAGTCTATTGACCAAAAACTTATACCGTGAAACTTCTGTATTTGATTCTAGAGTGGTCCACCACTTTTACTTAACAAAAAAGTGGTTGTCAAGTATACGTTGTATAGTTTAACTATGAGTTAATGAAATCAAAATATCACTATAATACCCATAACTTAAATAAACATTTGGAAATTTTGCCGAAAAAAATGAGGTGCATATGTAATGAACGAACAATTTTTGTATCATACTAAATGACAGAGTTCTTTCTTAAAATATGAAAACCACACATTAAATGCTTTATTTGCAAATCTTCCTTCAATTATCTTTTACATTCTCCATGATTCTCCTAATTCTCAATTCCTTTATGTTTTCTTCAGATCAGCCCTCTCAAAATTATTTTGTCAGGAATTCCACCTCTGATTAGTGTTACATACTACTTATACCTGTCAACATAAATAGCATACATCAAACATATAACAAATACTTTTATAATATTTGTCCTTTCTTTATTCAAGTTTATAAATGCAAAAAGTTGTACGAAATTGAGATCTAATTGATGTATATTACTTTAAAAATTAGTTAATATAAATTCATGTACAGTTTAGATCAATGTCTTTATGCCAGTAGGCGAAATGAATCTAGGTTATAGCCATTTTCAGAGTATAGTATATTGTTTAAAACATCTTTAGTACTTTAAGGAATACTGTTTTTCTCATTAAACATAATATTTTAAGATATCCTTGAGTTTTTAATGTTTGAAGTAGTTTCTAACATCAAATCAGCGTAAAATCTGATGAATAAATATCCTTGTAGTGAACTGAAGGTTTCTTTCTCTCTCCAGACAAACTTAAATAATAATAAAGTTAGAATAAGAATGAGGATTTTCGTGGCGTTTTATTCTCTGAGCTGGATGATTTAGTTTTGAAGCTTTTATAGCGTTCCATGACAGTACCATCAGTGTATACAATTCAATAAAAAGGGATTAATTTAAATTCCTTTTAAATAAAACGGCAACTTGTTCCGTTGACTTGAAGCTTGGTTGTCGTCCACAAGTGTGTGGTTATTGCTATGCCATGACTACGGCATAGCTTCTCTAATAATGGTGCACATGGACAAAGAAAAAGAAAGCTTCATGGTTAAGCAGACCAGCTCACACAACAAAGCATCTTCAGAAAAAATGTCTTTTCTGAGTAGACAATTCCTTCTCACATAGATTATTATAGGTTACATTGTTAACTGATAAGCACGTGAAAAATATAATTTTCAATATATTTTTGGGCATTAAGAATATGACTGGTGATGCCAACCATTATTATCAGTTAATATTAAAACAATCACCTCCTAATAATCAGCTTGTTAAGAGCTTATGAGAAACAGTATTCAAGATTCAGTACTATGTGCATATTAAATGTTGGTCATTCTAACACTGATCAAAAGTACTTACATAAAGATAATACTTAGAGATAAATAAAATTAAACCAAAAATTTATTGATGACATCTGGGCTGTTAGAACAACAGCTAACAGGACATTGTTTTTTAATCAAGTCACCAAGTAAATTAATCAATTTATTGTATGAATGGAATGTGTGACCACTTGCTTAACGTTAAGTAAACTGATTACATAAGGCTTTTCATTTCAGCATTCTACAGTAATTAATACTAATGAACTTACTTCAATAGAGTGTTTTAACAGTTAGATGAATACACTGTAATCTTTCTGTAATTAGCCTATAAAACAAGTCTACAATGGTTTAAACAACTCATAATTCTCATTCTTGTGTTTATATATATAATATATGTTTTGTTTTACTAAAGTTAGTTTTTGGTTAGCTATTTTTACTGTCTTGTAATCTCTATTTATTCAGTGATATTTTTTCAATAATATCGATTATGATAAGTAGTCACTTACTGAGGCTTAACATTAACTGATACGACTAATGATGCATTCATACAAACATAATATTTCTTATTTTTACACAGTTAACATACTTCAAGTTTTAAACTGTCATGTAAAATGTTTTCATCAAACTTGCTTTGACTGCATGCATTAGACAGATTTCCCTATGCTTTAACCATAGTTGGTAAGCCCTGATTCTAAACTAGTGGTGTACAAGGACTCCAGGATCCTAAGGAAATAAATGGCGTGTGAACCAATCGCTGATCACCGGATACCATGGGACTGCATCTCTTTACGTTGCTCCACTGCGTTGTGTATCAGACCTTTAGGTCGAAGATTCCAGATATGACCCCCCTAAGAAGACCATTTGCTTCAGTATGGGTGCCCGAGCAGTATCACAGCCCTCACATAAATCAATGATAACTACTACTTCATTGTTATTGTGTGGTGTATATATATTTGGTGCCCACTAGTACCAATGTTTATGTGTTCAAATAATTCAATAAATAAATCTTCTTTGAAATAAATCTTATCAATGGTCACAGTTCAACTCTTGGGAGACATATATTTCTAGTATCATAGTAAGCTAAATACGATATTTTTTTAAAAATAAACAGGAAGGTTGGTGTGTACATTCTCAGTATAATAATCTATCCTATATTTGGGTAGTATTTTATAGAAATTGTCAGCTTCCAATCATTACATACAATATTCAGTAGAAATTTATCTTCTTACCTCAATAATTTTAAATCGGTGAACTAAATACCAAAATCATCCACCTGAGCTACAAATCTTCTCCACCATCTCAAAATCATATGAGCGTAATACGCTTCTCGTTGTTCGAAAATGGGAGAATTTCGCCAAAAGGCAGGCTTCCACTCGAGAACAACTATATTTTCTCCATGAGTGTCTTCGCCAGCATGTTCTACCAACAAGTGTAAGATATAGACCTCCAATCAACTGCCCATTAGGATGGAAAATAGCTGAGCAAAGTGGAAGAAAAATGGTACACTTAATGATAACGGATGCACACTACAGACACGACCAAACCATCCAGCTCAGAGAACAAAACTCCACCAAAATCATCCACCTGAGCTACAAATCTTCTCCACTAGAATTATTCTTAGTAGACCCATAGTATATATTTTAATTGATTACAAAGTCGGTTTATATATCGTTTATACCCTTTCAAACTTAAATACTCTTCATAAAGACATATTACTAATCTATATTTGGAGAATACTTGGAAATTTTAGAACATGACATTACTTTTAAATCTGTGAATTAGTCTTTAATTGTGATACTACAAGTTATAATCTAATATGAACATTATGGAGAATTAGATATTTCGACTCTAATATATCTGTATTCAACAATGAAATGGATGTTATTTGATTTATTCTAATATTCTAAACAGATTTTAGATTGATAATTATTTGTAATATAAAATTGTCATTATATGGTTGTAGAGTATGTTGAGTTTTAAGTGATATCATCAATGGATGAATGTTAGACCACCATTGAAAACCCGGAAGTGCTTAAAGACCGTTTCGTTCTAGTATGGGACTTCCCAGCAGTGCGCATACACGATCCCGCATGCGGGACTCGGACCCATGACCTTTGGTCTGCTTAACCTCTAAACGACTGAGTCAATAACTGAATTGGTTTAAAACAACACAGAATGAATGTTCATCCAGTTGGTTCCATTTACAGAGCAACAAACTGATTAGTATTAAATCCACTCTGAAAGTTAGTGTTATTTTTTTCATTCTTCACAATCGAACAGAAGATTTTTAAAATAAATAAATTGTGACTAGCATTTGAACCTAGTGCTTGCGTTTCTTTCTATTTGGGACTTGTTAGGTGGACATACCAGTATCTCAGTGTTGACTTTTACACTGAGAGTCAATAATTCACTTGTTATAGTCTTAAGTGAAAGGTATGCGTCTCGAATCTCAGCGCGAACATCAATGCTACAATTTGGGTAGATTCAAATGACTAATCCCGAACAGGACAAAACGAACATCCTGGGTTTCATTACTAGTCATGATCCATCTATTCCAACATCTTGCGACAAAATGATTGTAACAAAGCAATCAGCTGAAGATGCATATATGCTGAATATAACTGACTAAAACTCAATGCTGAATACAAACAACGGCTCAATCAAAAATTTCTCTAGTGGTGAAGTGAGTATCAAAAAATATTTTTTTAAAAGCTATAGGCTTAACATTAATGAAATCCACAAAAGGTTTATAAAACTATTTTTTTTATTTTCTTGTTGAATATCAGACCCTGTTTACATAAATATACATCTTATTTTTAAAGGTTTGTGCAATAAAATGTTAGACAGTACTACAGTGGCTGAACATGAAGGAGAAGTATTTTGTAAAACTTGCCATGGTCGTAAATTTGGTCCTAAAGGTTATGGATTCGGTGGAGGTTCTGGAGCATTGAATATGGATACTGGAACTCATGTTGGTAATAAAGAAACAGAAATGTCGTAAGTTTTTATAAGAGATGGGATGAGCTATATATGATATATTTAATGACAGGATAATTATTTTTAAATTATATTACTTATCTATGCTAATAACAATCAGACAATTCATCAATACGACCTCACTACTCAAACTATGTAAGCTTTATTGTATACAAGCTACAGGATAAAGAAAGTTTTGACTTATGTATGTGGTTCATCCAAAGGTTGAAAAGAGTTATATGTAAACCGAACCAACGTCTGTAATAAAACATAGTCTAGGCTGAGATGGTGGATACGATTTTTAGCTCAGGTGAATGATTTTGGTGGAACTTCTTTTTCTAAACTGGATGGTTTAATCATGAAGCACTCATTATTTTTCTGAACATCATCATCAACACAAAATCTAGATAAAAATGTGTTATTCGAATTTCTTGACATATGACTAACAGCTTATCCTATCGACCTTGATCTTGACTGGTTACTATTGACATTAAACCTACCGTTGTCTGCATATTTGTTTTGATTGTCTCTTCTTTTGAATCGGTTTTCGATCCCATATTTATCCATAACTTTTCTGGTTTGTTGATAAATTTAATCAATTGCCATGTGCTTGTTGATTGTTGAATGGCCTGAGTTCCAAGCTTATAACAATTCTCTGGTGTTCGTAGTATTCTCTATATCCAAAAACCTTAAAATTTTTCCAGTCTATAATTGTTCACGAGCATTGGTATAAACGAAGATACATCATGATGTTTGATAGCTGGTTCCCTTTCATGAAGATCAAAATAACAAAGGCGTCAACTTTGTCCGACCTAGTGTTCTTCGCAGTTAAAACTGTTTATTTTGAAAATAATGTCTTGTTTTTATTCTTTTGTTATTTCATCCTTCAGTTTGCATAAGACTGACTGGTCATTTTGCTTATGTATATGCACAATCTTGTCGTGGTTTTTATACGTCCTTTATGTATGGTAGGATGATACAGTTGTCAGTTTTCACATTCAATTTCATTTTTGCCGATAAGTTGAATTGATATTTAAGCAAAGATGGATAGTGGCTAGCAACGGAATCCAGGGCATGCATTTCGTCCTATCTTTGCTTAAAAAGCTTGTGATCAAGGCTAGATCGAGTCAATCCACACATATGCCAACAAGAGACTGATCAATTTCAGTCCTAAATGACAATGGGATGATACAAGTAAAACAACATCAAGTGAATTTGAATTGATATTTGTTAACGAAAATTTTCCAAAATTTTGAGCTTATAATTTATTCTCGGAATGGGTTTTTTGGAGAGTTTAAGAAATTTCACAGGTTGAAATCACGAGTCAGTTGAAGCTAGACCACCATTGAAAACCTGGATAGGCACTGCTGAGGAGTCCCATACAAGGACGAAACGGCCGTCCAGTGCCTCCAGGTTTTCAATGGTGGTCTAGCTTCAACTGACTCATGATTTCAACCTGTATAATTTATTCATTGAACTAATAATCTTAACTTCAGTAATCAAGCAGACACAACAAATTTTCTTCAGTTGATCTTTACTGAGCTAACTAATCACTGAAACAAAGATATTAGAAATATTTTCAGAAATGTGTTGATATCAGGAGACAAGTTGTGTTTATCTTCTTACAAAAGAAAAATATACTTGATAAAATAGCAAAGAGATTACATAATATGTGAAATCTTCAAACTATCACACACATTTAGTCATAAATCTCAAGAGTGTGTGCGTGTGTGATAGATTAAGAGAACACTGGTAGCTAAAAATGATGAAGTTCAACTATCTAAATATCATTCATTAACTTAAGAATAACATCACCATCACTAAACACAGATGTTCTGACTTTAATTTAGAATATTTGATGATATATATATATATATATATATATATATATATATATATATTTCACAGATTGAAATCATGAGTCAATTGAAGCTAGACCACCATGAAAAACCTGGAAGCACTGGATGGCCGTCTCGTCCTGGGTTCGAATCTCGCGAGGTGCGGGATCGTGGATGCGCACTTCTGAGGAGTCCCACAATAGGACGAAACGGCCGTCCAGTGCCTCCAGGTTTTCCATAGTGGTCTAGCTTTAATTGACTCATGATTTCAATCAGAGAAGTAACAACTGATCCACTTACTTCTTTGAAGCCCTATTATGACTAAAAAATTAATCTCAATTTAATAAAATGCCTGTTCGTTTACTTACTCTTATAGTTTACCCGTTAAAAGTTACATGATTTTTAAAGTAAAAAGTTGTTACTTCAAATTTACGTTAGATTTATATCACCCTCTTTATTTCTATGCATCTATAAAATATAATTAAACAGTTAGATATTATTGATCTTAAACAACCTATTCACTTTATAATAAATAAGAACTCTCATCTAAATTTGATTGAATAGTTTCACAGTATTTTGGCACTGAGTTAATGTAAAACATTAAAGAGGAAGAATTTTGCTTGTAAAATCTCAGCGAAAGAATTTGAAAAAGCTTGGACCAGATTGCCAGGTGAAACATTGGCTTTACTTCAATTTTTTTTGGTTGAGATTTTTTTCGATGATGATATTAGAAGACGAAGATTATCAGAACTATGTGATATATTAGCGCAATACATTTCAAACAATCTGGTCACACAAATACATTCTTCCTCTATTCACACTTTATATTTACTTATTAGTGATCTAACATTGTATCTCAGAAAGATTTATTACTACATAAAAAGCAACTGCTGGTAGCTGATAGATAAAAATAAATTTTATTCTTTATTCAATAATTTATCTATAATATCTGACTATATGTTTATATATATATTGGCCAGAGTTTACAAAAATCCTATTTCAATAAATTATTGTAAATATAACTATTTTTTTTCCAAAAACCGTTAACTTAGAAATAAACCAACAGCTGGCGCAATAGGTGGTAAAGTTATACCTCCGGAAGAAGGTGGTTGCCCACGTTGTGGTAAACGAGTATATGATGCCGAAAAAGCTATTGGATGTCCAAGTGGAGTAAGTTTATTTAAATATTTCAGTAGTAATAATAGTCTAGTGGATATTACTTACAAGGTTGTATGTAAGTAGTGTATAGCGGAACGCGACGTCGAAGTTGATACAATTATCAGACGAAGTGAAGAGTTTCAGTACATCGAAAGCATAACACATGGAGACCAGATGAGAAGACGGGTCAGACTGCAGAACACATTAAATAACTCCTCACAACAAATGTACCTTCCTCATGCCTAATGCTGTGTTTCACAGTAGTAGTAGTGGTAGTATTAGTAGTAATAGTAGTGGTAGCATTAGTCGTAATAGTAGTAATAATAATAATAATAATAATAATAATAATAATAATGATAGTAGTAGTAGTAGCACTACGATACGAATTACTATTATATGCTTCGCATAAAATATTAGAGCCATAAACGTCAAATATTATAAACTGATTTTGTTGATCATCCATTAAATAACTATTACTTTCGATGACCCATTTAGGCTGTAATAATATACTTTATATTTGTTTGAACTCGTTATAAAATTAGAAACATTTGTCAACAATTTACAATTTCTGTGTCTTACGAGACTGTCACAACTTACGGGATTTCTTAATCTTGAAACAGTTGAACCTGAAACTTTATGATAGTAGAGTATGATTGGCTTATTTAAAAGTCAGTAATTTGTTGACGATGAAGACTGTTTCATTCACTATTCAAGTTACATGCTTGTAAACAAATATTTCTGTATTCACTGGTACTATTTTGCAGTATAAGTTAGCAAATAAACTTGACATATTGTTGAAATTCTTGAGCATCTTATACTTCTCAAATTAGTGAGAGAAGCAATCAAATTGTGGTGGGCCAAAAGTTATTACGTCAAAAAGTTAATGTTATAACATAAGGTATAAACACAAATTAAAGTTAAGGGACGTTACTTAAATCGGCAGGCTTGTGAGTGTTCGAGTTGCGTTTGGTACCAGTATCCACAATTATAGATAATTAATAATTCTAAATAAGGATGTTATGACTCCAGTAATATAGCCAGACGTAGAATATAATGGAAATATGGCTGCAGTCTATAAATGTAGATGATAGATATTTCAAAGTTCATTTATCATAACCACATGCAGTGGAGAACGAGATCCTTTATGAAATAATAGACTAATTCTGAGGCCGCTCATACTGAGAGAATACAGCTGGCAAGTGTTTATCGACTTCCGTAAAATCTAAACTCAGTTTAACCCCGTACGAATATCACCTAGAAGTTAAAGTAATCTTCACAAAATCCTTACAGAAAAATTATTTTCATTACTTAAAATATTTTAATGATGCTTATACACCACTTATTTATCATTATTTTTGCTATAATTCTATAATTAGCTCAACTTTCATAAAGCTTGTTTCCGATGTAAAGTATGCGGGAAATCACTTGACTCAACCACGTTGTGTACTCAAAAGGAAGAAAAAGAAATTTATTGTAAAGGTACTGAATTAAATATTGATCATAATTGTTTCTTTATCTAATCTATCTGAATACCTATTGTAGTGAACAGAACACGAGTTGGGACAATCGAATGTATTTAACACATAAATACACGACTTGTTAATAAAATCTAACAATCATAATGTAAATGCTTAATTTGCAAAATGTCCATCGATTGTCTCAAAATGACTCAGAATTCATTGTTCTTCCATTTTCATACAAATTGCATCCTGTTTCCATTTTTTACTGTTCGATCCTCTTATCTCTCTGTTGCCAGACCTTCTGTTCACGAGTAACATCATATACTACTTATGTCAATATAAGTAGCACACACCACACTAAAAATATACAGTTTATTGAATAACACTCATTAATTTGATCTAATTATAGGTAAATTATTTACTAAAAATCTAGCTACAATCTTAATAACTTTCAAACACTGAAATGTGAACATTACTGGGACGATTATTAAATATTTTTCTTTTGAAACATCTTTGAAATAAAGATTTACAACTTAGGTGCATACTTTGGGTGATGTTGTATTCGCTGAGCTAGACAGTTTAACTGAAAAGCTTTCATCATCAAAGCCTGCTTCATGTAGAAGCGAGCTTTTCACTTATTCCATAAATGTTATAACAGTTTGTTCTTATCCCCTTGTTTGTGACGGGATGTGTTAGTAGATTTGATTGTATTCGTTTACTTTAGCATTCCTGTTGACTGTCTTTATGGTTGATCTGATCATGTAACTAATCAGTATAAGTGGGTAGACTGAATGCATGTCAATGTGTTCACTGATTATCAAGTGGTCTGAATACCACTCTACTCGAAACTCACTATTATTGTCAGTTTTTGATCAATCAAATGTATCTTCATGTTTGGTACCAATCGTGACATGTCATTTTACTGTACTGTTAATCCGTGTTTATACACATTTAGGTGAATGAAGTATCTAATAAATTAAATGATCAGATCAACCGAAAGATACAGTCAACAAGAATTTAAGAACAAATGAACTCAAAGATACCTATCATGACAACCAATTATAAATAAAGCTATCATATAATGAATTGAAGTAACAATTGTGAAATCACTATAAAGCTCATACCTACATGAAGTATGTATTAATGATATAATCCAGAATAAACAATGAAATCTTTACAATTGTAACACAATTACTTTGTTTAGCTTAATGATTTATTTTATTTTAGTTAGGACATTGAAAAAAAAATGACTTCATCTCTGAAAACTTTCGAAATTTAAAATATTTCTTGCTAAATAATTAAGAATAATTTACCGAAAGTTTTGTTACATAGATGAATCGTAGAATGACTTACTCCTTGACATAATAACATAACAGTTCTAGTGAGAAGTAGTGACCAGTGTAGTTCAACCAGGTCTGTTGTGAGGCAGTAACTCACTGAAGATTATGGTGGATGTGTCGCTCAATTTCGTGGATTAGTTGAAGTTAGACATTAACACCGTTGGATGTCGGGCGGCTCATTGGTTTAGTGGTTAAGTGCTGGCGCGCGAAACCAGTAGGTCCTGGGTTCGGATCTCACGGGGGACGAGGTCGTGGATGCGCACTGCTGAGGAGTCCCACAATGGAACGAGACGGCCGTCTAGTGCTTCCAGGTTTTCCATGGTGGTCCAGCTTCAACGGACTCATGATCTTAACCATTGAAATGACTATAATAACAATCCTCTGCAGGTTCTACAATTATATATCCAAATTAATAATCCGAAAAATGACCAGGTTAATGGCTACGACCTCTCGTGGTCAATTGTAATTGTCTGTTATCTTTATTCACAAATCTTTGTATTATTATTATTATCATTATTATTATTACTATTTGTTAAACATCATTACTAATCTCTCCTATACATGATTCATTCACTTCACATTTATCCCTCCTTATTACGTCTTACTAATTTTTCGCACAATATATCCTTCCACTAAACATTTGACCGAATTGTAATTGCACTATTATTACTCTCACCCTATCTGACCCATATCTATTCTGACTATGAATCTTTAATTCCACCTAACATATACACAGATCCAAGTTAACATTCTATCTGAGTCATATCAACATTAACAATTTTATTATATTTTGTTTAAGAATCCTAAATTCAAATACTTTGCTCTTAACCTGGCCATTTTTCGGATTATTAATTTCGATATATGAATTGTAGTAACTGAAGAGAATTTATCGAAAAGAATATTCTTCTGTCAAATATTAGTCTTTTAATATGATGAGGATCTTTAAACGATAATAACAATCTATATATATATACATACACATATCATTAACAGATTAATTATACCATGCAGTACATTTTTATATGTTATTCAAATTTCTTTGAATTGAATACGCTCAGTTCTTTGAACAGACTGTTAGTTGTGAAAAGTAATATATTCCAAAACTTTAGCTAGAAACAACTAAAAATATTAAAAAAATGCTCCATTTTGACATTTTTTCTTTAAAAAAAATGTTCACATCAAGTTAACTATAATGTTATGGTCACTATGATGTGCAATTAAAATGATTATGATTATTATTTTCAGAATGGGTTTTGTGGAGAGTTTAAGAAATTTCACAAGTTGAAATCATGAGTCAGTTGAAGCTAGACAACCATTGAAAACCTGGAAGCACTGGACGGCCGTTTCGTCCTGGTATGGGACTCGGTAGCAGTGCGCATCCACGATCCTGCACCACGCGGGGCTCGAACCCAGGACCTACTGGCTTCGCGCCCGAGCACTTAACCACTAGACCAATGAGCCGGCATCCAAGACAATGGTGTACGGTGGCGCAACTTCGTGGATTGGTTGAAGTTAGATATTATTATTTTGATCGTTCAGTTGTTAGACAAATTGAACAGGGGGAATAGACAATCATTCTATTTTAAGTGTAATTCATTACTCCACTTAAGTTTTAGCTCTAGTAGTCAAGTTACTATGTATAAACTTACTACTTTCTAAATAATAATAATAAATGAGCTTTTTATATTTAATTTTTCAGCTTGTTATGGAAAAAATTTCGGACCAAAAGGTTTTGGTTTTGGACAAGGTGCTGGTGCATTAAATATGGGTTGATTATTATATTATAAGATAATTCACAATCAATATTATTTTCTGACATTAGTTTCGGTAAAACAAAGAAAAAAAGAAACGAGCCAAACACAAATCGATAATTCATCTTGCTCGATAACCTTTTTTTTTCTACCTAAAATAATTTTTTTTCGCTTTTTAATTTATAATTTTCATTTTAGTCAATAGTTAAACATGATTGTAACCATGAGAAATCACAAACACAAACACACACACACATACACACAAAGTGTTTACTTATCTTTTTACTAAAACATCTTTAAAATAAACAAATCAACACTGGGTTTTTTTTCGAAAAGAAAAGAAATAAATAAATAAACAATGATATTTATTATTGATTGTTTCAAGTTTTATAGAGTTGCGGGTTTTTTATTCTTAAGAATTTAGCAAACTCTTTCTCTTGATAAACATTTTGAATAAATTTTCATTTATCAACTGAATATTTTCTCAATCTTCTGCTTCCTTCCCTTCTTCTTCTTCTTCTTGTTCTTGTTCTTCTTCTTCACTGGTTTAAAGTAAACAAAATTTATTGAATTCAATGAATTATCATGTTTATTCATCTTGTTAATGAATAAAATATTTATTTAATTATATATTTATTAATACATATCAATTCAATTATTATTCTATTATTATAGTTGTCAAGGTAACTAGACAAATTTTTTTGATAGTTTATCAATCAAAATAGAGATTTATGAAATGAACCGGTCAAATGAAAGTTAGATAACACGATATGATTACGTTGATCATTTTATTTGAATTTTATTGAAAATTTAGAAGAAATTTGACAATGTTACTGAAAGTTTGTTATTAAAGTTACTGAATTTATGTGAAAATATTCGTATTGATAGATGGAGTCAAAGAGATGATTAGCAAAACACTTATTTTTAATGTGGTTACACATTATCAAAAGGGGATTTTGTCAGGATTTTATTAATTTAATAGTTGAATTCATGAATCAATTAAAGCTAGACTACCATGGAAAATCTGGAAGAATTGGACAGTCGTTTCCTCTAAGTATGAGACTCCTCAAAAGTGCGCATCCACAATCACGTCCGCGAGATTCGAACCCAGGAAAAGTCGGTTAGATGTACTGTTTATCTGAAACAAAGCACTATAAACAATGCATCTACTTTATACATCGAAAGAAAATTTCAATATAGAAAAGTTGGGATAGGCATGATGGATCATTAGATAATTTCTGCACTATATCATTGTTAAATTCAGGGGGTTTTATAAACGTCATAAAATATAGATAATTAAATAAACAGATTATAGAGCAATTGTAATTTCACAAAAATTATGACACATTCATATGATTGTACATAACACAAAAAATATTTGAAAATTGCTATTGTAGTGAGCAGAACACAGATGGGGACAATCGAATGTATTTAACACATAAATACACGACTTGTTAATAAAATCTAACAATCATAATGTAAATACTTAATTTGCAAAATGTCCATCAATTGTCTCAAAATGACTCAGACTTCATTGTTCTTGCATTTTCACATAAATTGCATCCTGTTTTCATTCTTTACTGTTCGATCCTCTTGTCTCTCCGCTTCTAGACCTTCTGTTCACGACTAACATCATATACTACTTATGTGAATATAAGTAGCACACACCACACTGTAATTTCCTTTAAAAATTATTGACGTTAAACCAATATTATTATTTATAAGGTAGAACTATATAACTCTACAGTTTAAAGATGAAGAATGCATTTGTAAAATCTCAGCGAATGAATTTTAAGTAAATCCAACGCTTCGCCTGGCAATCTGGTCCATGCTTTTTCAAGGAAATATAGTTAAACATCAAAATGATTGAATATAAATAGGTACATGGTTCTCCGGTTTACTGTGTACTGAATAAGTCATCTAATCAACATTAACAATGTTTAAAGTAGGTAATTACATTAGTGTGTAAGAGACATGTGGTGTTTTCCTAATATTCACAGATCGAAGACAATATTCAATGAGTGAGATTTCTTCTTCTCACTTACGTATACACACAATCTGTTATCTTAACACTTTTCGTTTCACACCTCATATCTCTTACACACTAATGTAATTACCTACTTTAAACATTGTTAATGCTGATTAGATGACTTATTCAGTATACAGTGAACCGGAGAACCATGTACCTATTTATATTCAATCATTTTGATGTTTGATTATATTTCCTTGAAAAAGGATGGACCAGATTGCCAGGAGAAGAGTTGGATTTACTTTCAATTCATTCGCTGAAATTTTACAAATACATTCTTCTGCTTTAATGTTTCACATCAACTCGGTGTATAAATTCTGTGAAACTATTCAATCAAATTTAGACGAAAGTTCTTATTTACCATAGAGTTTAGTTTTTTTGTAAATTTTGTACAGTAGATAGTTTGTTGATACTCAGGACAAAATGATAAATATATATGATTATTACTTAGTTAGTTGGTTCAAGAATTTTCATTCAGCTTTGAGTTAGTTTTAATACAAAAGTAACATGAAATGAAGAAAACCAGAAGTCATTGAGAAACTGATTTTCAGTCATTCACATTAGTATACATCCAATTTGTCACATGACGTCTAAACAGAAACTTCCAAATCTTGTAGAAAGTAGATCTTTATAATGATCGTTAAAACTTAGAGACTGAAACTATGAATGGTCTTAACCAAATCAATTATAGCGAAAAAGACGTTCAGCGGTAAAGAACATGTTTTGCCAAATTAACATATATTGGCGAATGTTTACTGTTTTTTTTTTTGATGAAGCGTAATTGGAAAAGATTAAGTATATGACTTTATTCGTTATACTAATGAGTGTTAATACTTTATATACAACTATTAAAGTCATTTGATTATCTCATTTAAGTATACAATTATAAAATGTCATATCTTCACAGCGTGCACGCAAATATAAACACAAAACTATACCAATTACAAGAAATATAGATGTTTGCACGAAATCGGGGAATGATCGAAGTCAGGTGTGTATAGCACTAGCTAGCGGTTTAGTAGTCTAGAAGTTAAGCGCTCTCTGTTAAGCGGAAAGTCGTGTATGTGTTATTCAGTGGTTTCGTGGAAACATACTGGTGAGGAGTCTCATTCTGGAACAAAGCAGCTATCAACGGATTTTCAAGTTCCTAATTGTTGTCTAAGACCAGTCTGTCATATAGACTATAGAACTTCAGTAGTCTCCACAGGCCCACTATGCTAAAATACAACTAAGCTAAAGACAATCAACTAACATTACATATTATTCATTTCACCGTTTTGACAAGCATTATTTTACCACATCGTAGACAGACTTCATCAAGTTATGCAGCTAAACACTTTAGAACAATTTGTTAAACTTTGTATGGTAAAATTTAGTGAGCAAAAAATCTCTTAATCTAAGTTTCCTTTTTATTTAGATTATTCATTAGCTGGGTATTTTGAACATTGAAGGAAAAATATCACCGTTTTGAGATTCTTATGAACACTGTTGACTCGCTCTATGCAAATCTCTATAAAAAATCAGGCAATAATACTCGTCAGCCATTAAATAATGAATAGAGTCAATAAAATACTTATTCCCATTCCTAAAATTATTTTCCATAACAGGAAGATTAGACGTAATTTATTATCTTTCTACCGATTTCTTTTAAATTAACGGCGGTAAAAAATATAGGTAGTGAAACAAAGACTGAATCAGTTAAATGAATAATGCATGAGTTGAAAAAAAAGATATGTATTTGACAAGAGATCTCTAATAGTTGATTCGAAGTGCTCAAGAGAACATAACTAAAGGCAGCAAAACAACATTAGGGTAAGAATATAGCTAAAGGACATATTTGGTCATTTCGGGAAGAGTCAGTCAGTACGATGAATTTAGGTAAGTGGGTACCAGAAGTCTCAGAGGTTATTCTCTGAAAGGAGACATTGGTAAGTTTCGTAAATTCATATATTCATGAAACTCCATATAGTCAAATAAAAACGTTATCAAAAAAAAAAATGGAGCCAAATTATTATTCTAGGTTTTGAAAAGTGAAATTAAATGCTAAATCTAAAACTAAAACTAATGTCTAATGACCATTTCTATTATGAATCCAAATTATTTGTTCAGTATTAGTGACGAATCAAATTTCAATGTTGTATAATCAATAATCTTTTTTAAAGGGAAAGGCAAGTAAATGTGCGAATACGATGAATTTGACAATATATATATATATATATATATATATATAATATATATATATATATATATATATATATATATATATATATATGCATGCATGGGTACAAGAAGGATTTAGACAAAACTGTTCCCTTTATTAAGACGGCATTATACATTAAGTCAACTATCATTCTAAAAATGGAATCTAACATTATGTGAAAAAAAGATATTTTGTTAGTAAATTATTATTAAAGCACGGAAAGGTCAGATTTTACTTGGTGAATGTAAATATATCAGATATAAACTGAATGCTTAGGATGGTGAACGTTAAACTAGACTGTTATTTAAGAAAGAACTACACCGTGAGAAATGCAAACTGTAAACAATATATGACTGTATTTTGTTGCACTTAGCACAAACAAAGGCAAGTGACTCACGTCTAACTACAAGTCAAAGGTTTACGGTATTGTCCGTTTTCATAAAAAAGAAATAAATCGAAATAACCTTAGATTACTGAAATGGGAGATATTATATTCTAATGGTGTAACAACTCAAGTTCAATCACATTAAATACACTGGTATGATACATTCGTTTGGTGATCACAATCATTTTATTCGGGCTAGAGATTACCATGTATTTGCTACTATTTATTCAGATCAGTTGTACTCGAATCATGTCTGTTTCTGGAATTCATTGAGCTGACAACTTTAAATAGTATTCTTTATAGATATGCTTATTTGGTCTAACGTTTAAGTGACTTGTGAACTCAGTTAATACGTAATCTTTTATAGTTTCCCTTTACATTTGAAATATATTGTAGAGAAGATCTATCACTGGATGACTGTTGATTGGAAGTCATCGACAAGAGCCCCTATGATCATGCTTTGTGGCGATAGGCACTCATCAGCACAGCATAGCTACAATCGCGAAATAGCTGATTCTCGGATCACTCGGTATTGTTATGTCCTCGAGCCAGTAAACCACCATGTGACAAGATCACCAACTATAGAGACGACTTATGACCTTGGTACTGTACCAAACCAATGACGCCTTAACCAGTAAGAAAAGTCTAGATTCAATTTTGAGTCTGTTAGGATATTCGAAAAAATATACCAGTAATTATCACGTTAAGTCTAATGGTGTCCTTGGACTTTAAATAGACATTCCCTATTGGTCAATATTTATTTCACTTGTTAAATATTGTACAAACGTTGTTTTCTATTTTATGGTACGATGTGGTCTGTTTGGTTGGTATATAAACAGAGTATGTCTGAAATATAATGATTCATATCTCAGAGGCTGGGACTTGTGTCCTGGACTCAGCTGGCTGGGCTAGACAGGGAAGCAGAGCCAATTGAGACTCTAGGTCGTTCTTACGTGTTTACGCGTCTTTGGTCCAATCGATAATTCACTGAGCATATAATCTACAGTCACAAG